CCGCTCCGCAAATGCCCGGCCAGTGGCGGAGCATTAACACCATTCAAACTTTATTATTAGGCGTTTGTGGGGCATTTTTAACGCTTGGCAAACGCCTACCAACTCCGCTAAACCGCGCATACAGCGTTTTTGGAGTGTTTGCAGAGCGTTAAAAACGCTTCACAAATGCCGGACCAACGCTTGTCAAATGCTATAGGGGTGTTTGGCAAGAGTTGGAAAAAAAAGTCAAGTGTGAACGAGCCCTAAGGCTTTGGGGGAAATCCACCCACCCGCTGTAGTTAGAAGCTACATACCCCTAATTCTGGCAAGTCGGATCTGCTTTCCCAGAACAAAGATGGCTGCTGGAGAGCTGGCTCTGCCCCCCCATTGTAGTTAGGGGCTGCCCACACATCCCCTAAAACGCAGCAGTCTCTTCCCAAAACAAACATGGCCACCGGAGCGCTTGGTTCCGCCTTCCCGGCTACCCAGAGGACTCAGCGGCGGGTGAAGTGCGCAGGCGCAGCGTCCATATTGGTGACTGAGCGATCTGACGGACCGGAGGAGGTTTGTACACGGAGCCGGGTGAGCGGGGTGTGTGATCGGGGGGGGGGCAAACCGAGGGGTGGGCGGGGCGGAGGAAATATGTGGGATCTCGGCGGAGGCCCCAGAGACTGAAGCGGCGGTGATGTCAGATTTATATGGCACGTGGTGATTGTGCAGCCAAGTTCATGAGAAGAACAAAGCCCTATATATATATATATATCTTCCCCAATGTGAGACATGGGGGAGGACGTCACAGCGAGTGAAGAGATACCAAACATGCCCCGCTTCACTCACATCCTACCGGCCAATCCTGACCCCTCCAATGGCTTCCAGCGAGACCCGGGAGAGAGGAGCCGCAGGGCGGGCCCATTGCTGGAGCCAATGAGGGCTCAGCAAAGTGTGATGTCTAAACGTTTGTTACCGCCATAGAAGGAACGCATTAAACCCCCAACAGTACAATCAGTCTGTAGATGCAGTAAAGCATGCTTGTTATACTCACTGTGGGACCTAAGGGGTTAATCCTCCACATTGTGTAAAAAAGCTGTTTGATCCTGTCTTCTCTGATCCTCCCCTTCTATCTACTGTCCCCAATCCATCTGCTGATAGAACAGAGCCTTGGGGGCAAAGCTGCACATGCTCAGTTTGGTGTGCATTGCTAGAGAGAGTTTTTTCTTTTTTTGGGAGGGTGTATGTGATCAGCACAGGGCCAATCAGCACTGTCCAGACAGAAGGTCAGGGGTCATGCAGCCTGCTAGAGCAAAATGAAAACTCCTCCTACAAGCTTTAACCAGTGCTCTGCTGGACACTGATAGAAGTCACAAGACTGCTATATACTGCTTATGGGAAAAGGGATGTAGCAGTTTATATTTACTAAGATAATTGCATTTCCATGTCCTGTGTACGGGGGAAGCGGATATAGTGGGGGGCGGCAGATATAGTGAATGCGGGGTCCGGGGGGACCGGGTATAGTGAATGGAGAGTCCGGGGAGGGTGGATATAGTGAATGCAGGGTCCAGGAGAGCAGATATAGTGAATGCAGGGTCCGGGGAGAGCGGATATAGTGAATGCAGGGTCCAGGGGAGAGCAGATATAGTGAATGCAGGGTCCGGGGAGAGCGGATATAGTGAATGCAGGGTCGGGGGAGACCAGATATAGTGAATGCAGGGTCTGGGGAGACCAGATATAGTGAATGCAGGGTCCGGGGAGACGATATAGTGAATGCGGGGACCGGGTATAGTGAATGGAGAGTCCGGGAGGGTGGATATAGTGAATGCAGGGTCCAGGGAGAGCGGATATAGTGAATGCAGGGTCCGGGGAGAGCGGATATAGTGAATGCAGGGTCCGGGAGAGCGGATATAGTGAATGCAGGGTCCGGGGGACCGGGTATAGTGAATGGAGAGTCCGGGGAGGGTGGATATAGTGAATGCAGGGTCCAGGGAGAGCGATATAGTGAATGCAGGGTCCGGGGAGAGCGGATATAGTGAATGCAGGGTCCGGGGAGACCGGATATAGTGAATGCAGGGTCCGGGGAGAGCGATAGCTATAGTGAATGCAGGGTCCGGGGAGAGCGGCTATAGTGAATGCAGGGTCCGGGGAGAGCGGATATAGTGAATGCGGGTCCGGGGAGAGCGGATATAGTGAATGCAGGGTCCGGGAGAGCGAATATAGTGAATGCAGGGTCCGGGAGAGCGGATATAGTGAATGCAGGTCCGGGGAGAGCGGATATAGTGAATGCAGGGTCCGGGGAGAGCGGCTATAGTGAATGCAGGGTCCGGGGAGAGCGGATATAGTGAATGCAGGGTCCGGGAGAGAGCGGATATAGTGAATGCAGGGTCCGGGGAGAGCGAATATAGTGAATGCAGGGTCCGGGGAGAGCGGATAAGTGAATGCAGGGTCCGGGAGAGCGGATATAGTGAATGCAGGGTCGGGGAGAGCGGATATAGTGAATGCAGGGTCAGGGGTTTAGCAACACTTTAAGGTAAAAAAAAGTTTAACCACTTCCCATCCTCCCTAAAAGCAGAAATACTGCTACAGGGCGGCACAAAATCGTGTGATGTGTATATATATATAATGTATGTATGTATGTGTGTGATTTTGCATTCCCCTACCCACGCCGCCATTTGATGCCGCGCGACGGTCAATCACCGGGTCCCAGTCGGTGATTACTGAGCATCTCTGACGGGAGGGGATGGTTTTGTTTACTAACAGTCCTCCTCCCTGTCAGCTCGGGCACACTGCTCAGCACAGCCATCCAGAGCAGTGTGATTACAGTGAAACCCCGCCCCCACCCTCTAGTAAAACACTCCCAGAACACAGTTAATCCTTTGATTGCCCCTCACAGTAACCCCTTCCTGCCCAGTGCCATTAGTACACATCAGTTTTTTTTTTTTTTTTAGCACTAGCACTGTATTGGTGTCATTGGGGATGTCAGTGACACCAAGTCCGTTTCCCCACCCAGTGTCAGAATGTCTGCCGCAGTCCTGCTAGAAGTCCGCAGATCGCCGCCCCCGGTCTGTTCTCTCCAGACACTCTCCCCACGTACCCCTCCCCCCGCCTCGTCTGTTCTTTCCTGACCCCTTCCCCTACCTGGCAACCTGCGGCTCTCTAGCTGTCGTGGAACTACATTTCCCATGAGGCATTGCAAAGATTACAAAACTGACAGTTACAGCTATGACTTGCAGAGGCATGATGGAACTTGTAGTCCTGCGGCTCTCAGGTTGCCCACCCCTGTCCTAGACTGACTGCCTATCTTAACTGTACTGTTAGTATCTATCTAATCCTATCTGCTATCCTGTTACCCCCCCCGCACTGCCATCTTTCTTCCTTACCCCCCCCCCCACTCCCTCGTCCTGTCCCTCATCCCTCTTTCTTCTCCCCTGACCCCCCCCCCCTCCCGTCTGTCCTCTCCTCCCGTCTGTCCTCCCCTCCCGTCTGTCCTCCCCCCCCGTCTGTCCTCTCCCCCCCCCCCGTCTGTCCTCTCCTCCCCCCCCCCCCCCGTCTGTCCTCTCCTCTCCCCCCCCCCGTCTGTCCCTCCCCTCTCCCCCCCCCCGTCTGTCCTCCCCCCCCCCCGTCTGTCCCCTCCCCCCCCGTCTGTCCTCTTCCCCCCCCCCCCCCGTACCCTCTTCCCCCCCCCCCCCTCTGTCCCCCCCCCCCCCCCCGTCTGTCCTCTCCCCCCCCCGTCTGTCCTCTTCCCCCCCCCGTCTGTCCTCCTACCCCCCCCCCCCCGTCTGTCCTCTTCCCCCCCCCCCCGTCTGTCCCTCTTCCTCTCTTCCCCCCCCCCCTCTGTCCTCTTTTTAGTCCCCCCTACAACTGCCTCCTCTACCTCCACTTTTACCCCTCATGTATCCCTCCTGAAACCCCTACCCCCCCCCATCATCGCCTCCTGACCTCTGTACCCCCTGTTGCTGGGTCCGGTGTCTCAGTAAATGCCTCTAGTAGTCATCTCCTATGTAGGCCGCTATGGATTGGTGGGATTCTATTTACAAATAACGTGACACTTTCTTCCTCCATACAGGAGATCTCAGCGAGAGGCCGGGAGGTGCAAAGAGATCAGACTAAACCAGCCGGTGAAAGTGTAAAGACGGTTCAGCATGGTGAGTCTCCTCCCAGCACCTCCACTTCACACGTCCATCCATCAGGGTGTGATGAGCCGCTCCCCCTCCCCCGTCCCCATTCATTCTGCTGGATACCATGATAGTAGTTGGTGTACATGGGTAACACTCCAGTAGGGGGCAGTATACATGGATACCCTCTGAGTAACCAAGGTGTATGTCAGTAACGTGATGGGATACTGGCAGGACACCCACTTTTCCGAATATTCTCCACTAGTTATCATTACATTTACTCTCTGAGCTCCAGTCCATCTACTTTGCCTAGGCTGAGATGATGTCATCAGCATGCTGCAGGCAAGAGGAAGCATTTCCTCCCATATCCCCCCCCAATCCTCAGTTATTTATTTCAGGTACTTATATAGCGCCGTCAATTTACACAGCGCTTTACATATAAATTGTACAGTCACATCAGTCCCTAACCCTCAAGGGGCGTACAATCTAAGGTCAGACTGCAACTTTTTTAAATTTGCAGCAGGGGGCTGATCTGTGTCAGTTGTGTGCGCAGGAACTTGGATGTACACGATTGTGTCCAGGAAGTAGAATGGTGACTCCGGATGATGCTGGAAGAAAGATGGTGTCATACGTCTGGAAGGGAAAGCAGATGAAGGCATTGTAAAGGGGGGGGAAGGATTGTGATCTCAGTGAGAGACATAAATGCCTGTAATATCCACACTGACACGTGGCATTTCATGCATCTAACATGAAACAAGATGGCGGTGTACATTTCAGCATCACTGAGGGTACAGTAGAGATGTTTCTGTACGATCTGCATGCTGGCTGATAAAAGGGGGGGCATGACGCTGGATGAGGATACCCTGTTTGTGCGTTTTTTGGTGTATTCATTTTTGTATAATTTTCCTCCTAACA